CTCTCAATATCAGAGAGCTGGATCACTTGAAGCTACACTTAATAAAAGCTGTGAGACAGACTAAGCAGAGTCCCGCGTCTTACTGGCGATCCAGCCTCGACGGAGGCAGCATTCCTCCGTCACCGGCTCACGGATCCCAGCTTCAGCTGCCTCGTGCTTTCCCGCGTGTTCTAGCGGCCGGTGGAACTCGCATATTGAGGAAAGTATACGGGTGAAATTAAGGCGGTACACGGCTGGACAACGCTCCAGCAGCAGAGACCCACAGAGACACAGAGAAGCCCGCGGGACCAGACCTGCCTTCTTCCAGGGCGTGGGGCTGAGACCAGGGGACTGATCTCTGTGCCTCTCCAGGTGTGCCTGCGCACACCACGCTGGGGCGCCCAGCGTGCGCACACCATACAGGACAGCTCAGGCTACAGGGAGACCTTGTCTCAAAAAGACCAAAAAAAATTATTTATTTATTATTATTTTTTAATTTTATGTGTATGCATGTATTGCCTGCATGTAGGTAAGTGCACCCATGTTGTGCAATGCCTGCAGAGCACAGAAGAGGCTGTGGGATCCCCTGGAACTGGAGTTATGGACAGTTGTTAGTTGCCATGTGGGTGCTGGGATTCGGACCCAGGTCTTCTGCAAGAACAGTGTTCTTAACTGCTGAGCCATCTCTCCAGCCCCCTCTTCTTCTTTAAAAAAATTTAAAATTTATTTTTATGCATATAAGTGTTATGTCTGCATGTGTGTAAGTGCCCTTGTGTCATGCAGTGCCCACGGAGAATAGAAGAGGCCATCGGATCTCCTGGAACTGAATTTACAGATGGTTGTTAGCTGCCATGTGAGTGCTAGGATTTGAACCCAGGTCTTCTGCAAGAGTAGCCAGTGCTCTTAACTGCTGAGTGACCTCTCCAGCCCAACCCTTTAACTCCTAATTGTACTGCCTCCACTTCCCAAATTCTGGGATTACATGTGTACACTACCTCACACCTGGCCTTGAACAACTAATTTTCTTTCTTTTCTCTTTCTTGTCTTTCTCTCTCCCTGCCTGCCTCCCTCCCTTCTTTTCTTTCTTATTTTTTTGAGACAGGGTCTCCTTGTAGCTCTAGCTGGCCTGGAACTCCCTTTGTAGACCAAGTTGGCTTCAATTTCAGAGAGATCCACCTGCCTCTGCCTCCCAATTCCTAGGATTAAAGGCCCATGCCCACTGAACAACCAATTTTCTAAACTATATTTAAAGGACTGTGCGGGGCCTGGTGGCACACGCCTTTGATCCCAGCACTCAGGAAGCAGAGGCAGGCAGATCTCTGTGAGTTCGAGGCCAGCCTGGTATACATAGTGAGTACCAGGACAGCTGG